AAAAAAAAAAAAAAAATGTCTGCAAGTGACAAATGCTTAAAAAGCGCTAGTCTTCAGGAATGATGTGTCAAAGATGTCAACTGGTAGAGAAGCCATCCTGACAACATAATGGAGACCAGCAAATAAATACTAAAGTAACATTTTTCTTTTAAATTCTCAGATAAACCAAATTTCCTTATTACAGAACAAAAGTCATCCCCCACCACCTTATAGGCTGACTCTGGTGGAGGCCACCTGACCTATATTTAAGATGGGGTTTTAAAGTTCCTAATACCACAGAATCGAGTCGGTTCAAATCATCCTCTGAGGCTTCTGGGGACAGGACACAGTAGAATCTGGGCTGTGGGACTGCATCTGAAAAACAATGTAGTCAATTAAAACAACAGTTTCCTTCTCGATGCTATTCAGTAAGTAGAAAACATAACAACTGAGAACATTCAAAACAGGGGTTTCCCAAACTCGGTATACTGAAATTTTGGCCCAGATAATTCTCTGCCTTGGGAGCGATTATCCTGTGCACTACAGGATGTTAGCAGCATCCTCCCTCCCAGCTGATAACTAAGTGTCTCCTGACATAGCCAATGACCCTCTGGGACAACTACTGCTAGAAGGTGAACTAAGGGACACTCTGATCACCAAATCAATCAGCAAACTGTCGTAGGACACCGCATAAAATCCCAAAGCTACCTCCCTAACATGAATGGGGCCAGCAACTCAGAGTCTTGATGAGTTTCCACAAAGTACACCTGACAAGCCTCAGGATGAAAGCAAACATATTAAAAGTAAGTAGGGGGCTACCTCATCAAAAGAGTAACAACTGCCAAGAGAATGCCAGGGTTCCCATTAATTTCACCAAAACCCACAAGGAAAATCTGTCTGTGGATTAGAGCTATATCCCCAACCAAATTAAACCTAATCACCTACAGTAGCAAAAATCCACGTACTCTACTCTATGGTCAGGCACAAAGATCCCAAATTCTTGTCTCAACAATTTTTGTTCTTAAATAAATGTGCCACATGCTGCTCCCCTCAGCAATGTACTTTGTCAGCCAGCCTGTTCTGCTCCCCGCTCTGCCTCTGGTGAAGCCTCTCACCACCCCTGCACCTCTGGCCTATACCCCAGTTGTGTGTGCATAAATAAATAAATCTTTGAAAAACAAACAACAAGTGATGAATGACAATATAAAATGTAAAAAATATATAAAATAAAATAAACGTGGCACATGTGAGACTCTAGTTTTACAAGTAATTCAAATCTGAAGGATTTTGAGCAGAATAAGCCAAATAACCAAAGATCTCCAAATTCAACTCCACTGATAATAATCACTGAGTCGGTTTCTTAGTGACAATCCTCTTTCTGACCTGATGAAAAATGCTTCGACCAGTTTTCTTCTACTTCTTTGAACCCATGATAGAGAGGGGTGGTCGCCCGGCGGCTGTTGCTGTCCTGGGATCCACTTGCCCACCCAAAAGGAGGACTTAGCAGGTTATGCTGCACCTTTTAAAACACATACACTCAAATTAAAAGAGATTCAGTCACCATTTTGCTTCTCATTCCAGACATAACAGAGTGCTGTATCAAAGTTTAGTAACTCTCAAATACAGTTAAATTTTAGAATTTTCTGTGACTTCTCTTGGAAAGGATTTTCTGGTAGAAATATAAAAATACAGTGTTTTCGGGTGATTTGGTGATGGGAAGCCCACGGGGATCACAACTGAGATGGAAAAAGGCACAAAATGATGTAAAAATAAGCTATTATATTATTTTTTTTAAATGTATAGTGTTTTTCATTTTTAAGATGAAACTTCTTAAGAAATAACCACGCACTGGTCCCCTTTTTGGACCCTTAAAGTAAACGTATTAGTCCACAGAACTTACTGCTCAACACCAATCAGTTACTAAAAAGCAGCCGACCACAGAACAGACAGGCTGCAAAAGCGCAAGCTCACTTATGTGAGAAAGCCCTCAGGTGCTGCCCTCACAGGTCCAACCAATCACAGATGCTGGCTAGCTGAACCCACAGGTAAGGAATCCCAACTTCAGAGGGCCGCTGTATGGGTCTTGCGCATCCTCAGGTAACTGCTCGGGCAGTGACTGGAGGGCGGGGCTTGTCTAAAACCAATTCCCTAGGGACACCAAGGGGCAAATGGAGTTACCTCTAAGTTTTGGAAGAGTCCAAAGTTACATTCAGGTTTTACTGCACTGAGGTTAGTGCCCCTAGTCCACACCTTGCTCAAGGGTCAACTGTAGTCACCAAAGGCCAAAGGGCCAGATCCGGGGCGGGAGTGAATGCAGAAAGGGCGCCTGTACACAGCACCTCTAGCCATTCTGACAGCACTTCAAAGCAAATCATCTACCTTCCTTGCTGCCAGCCAGGCACAACTGCAGGTGCACTCCAAGTGCCAGTGGCCTGCGGACCCCCAGCACAGCTGAAACCTCAGTTGAGCAGATCATTTTGCTTTGCATCATGGCAACTCAAGGACAAAGCTCTCAGTAACAGCTAGTAAAGGAAAAGAAAGCATTCATCTGTACCTGCTCAAACAGATACACGGGGGCTTTGGAGTACTGGTGAAGCAGGTAGTCAAAGATCAACAGGAGTCGAGCCAAGAGGAGCGGCACGCAGCGCATCTGGGTGTCCATGTGGGAGCTCAGCTCCTGCATGGTCTGCACAAACAGCGTCAGTATGGCCCGCCGGCCCTTCTCAGTGAAGTTGTGGAAGATGAGCAGCAGCAGCTGCAGGTGTTCCACATTCAAATCTTCCGTCTCGTTGGGCACCACCCCCTGCAGGGCGTTCTGTTTCATTGTCGACAAAAACCTAGCGCAGACAAAAGGAGACTGTATCTGGTGGGGAGAGCCAGGATATGCCCAAGAACCTGATGTCAAGTTGTGGAAAAGCGAACTTCTTAATCCTAAGCATTAAGGTAACAAACTGAGGAAGACAAAAGCTTCACAGACAGACGAAACCTGGGCTGCAGCCAGGAGCAGCACAGCAGCGCCGAGAGCACTTGGGATCCAGCACCCTCCTGCCATTTCTGACAAGGGAGAGAACCAGAAACTCCTTGAAACATGTGGGCTTTATAAATCCATATGCCTGGATAGGTACAAGTAATTCTATTGTTTTTCTCTATACTTTATTTCTATAGTTTAATTCTGATTTGTGTTTAGCCTACAGATTGAAATGACTACAGTAAGTCACTATAAAGCAACCAAAAATAACTATTCAAAAAACTTGTCAGAAGAGCTTTTAAGCAAAAAAGGAAGAAATGCAACTAAATATTAGTACTGTCCTGGCTATTAAGAAAGAAGTTTGTGTTTTAATAAAGGTTTCCCTCAAAACACGCCCCCACCCCCCACCTCCTTGCCTTTTTGCAAGGCTCCACTACAAAAAAGAGAGGGTCTTTGGCATTCAAGAGGTTTATGGTTCCTCAAATCCAGCATTAGAACAGTATTTGATCATAAAAGGGGAACAGAAAATCAAAGTCTTAGGAAAACAAACTGCTTTGAAGACACCAAACCATGTTAAAAAAAAAACAAAAACAAAAATAAATAACCTCCTCCATAGGGCTGCTCCTGACACGCTCTTACCTGTCCCACACTTTGAGGCATTCCGGGACGTCAGGGTCCCCTTGAACACCCGCTTTATGCTGCCAGATGAGTAGGAGGCGTGAAAGCACAGAGAGGCTTTGAGGGTGGATGAACAGGGGCCAGGGCCCCTCAGAAAAAGGAGCCACTCCCAGCTGCTGCAGCAGTGTGTTCTGACATGAAAGACACAAGAGACCGTTAGGAAAGGCAGCGAGGACACTCTCCAGAGGTGCTGCCACACTTTAAAGAAAGCACCACCCAGAAATCCAGACATACAAGTGGCTTGGAGAAAGTTTTCATTCACGTAAGAAACATATCAACAAGAAAATTATGAATATAACCCCCAGTAACAGCCTGTGATCAGTGTGAAAATGCTGTCTTGAGAAGGAAACCTTCAAGCGACAACAGAATCAGGAAATCTATCTAAATAGATGAATCGTTAAAGTCTGTGCCTTCAAAAGAAAACTTTTTGAACAACTGTGTGGGCCAATAGGCTTGTCTCTCACAATCAGTTACATGATACAGTAACACGCAAGAGAGGGACATCTAGCAACTCATATTAACAGAGCAGAAATTTCGCCTGTAAGATGTCAAGTATCTAGAATTAATTAAGGCCGTTCTTTGCCTCTAGATGTAGCACATCTTTCAAATGAGCTTTAGTTTCAGCACAGTTATCTGAGCTGCAACTTATCTTGCCCAGCATACACAAACTGAGCAGCATGCCAATGGAAGACCAGACAAAAGCCTGTCTTCTCATTTGGCTTTAGAAGAAACAAATCACAGTTACCTCAGGATATAAAATAAATCTCCAAGTATGACAAATTAAATTATGTTCTTATAAAACACCCCAGAAGAGCCCCTTCTTGGCACAGATTATCCAGAACGGCGCAGCTCTCCGTGGTCGTGCCCGATCAGGGCAGTGTGCACAAGCACCAGGCACAGCCGTCAAACGGAGCGCTCACAGTGGCGTTCGGGGGTGTGCACACTGCCTTAGGAGGAGTGAGGAGGGAACGGCTCGGACAGGCTGACAAACATAAGTAAAGTCAAGATTTAGCACTAAAGCTTACAATCTTAATCACCTCGCTCAGCATAACGTAACTGACTTTTCAACTCCTGACTTCAAAGCAAGAGCCTGACCTATGCCCAAAACATGAACTGTAGCACTATTATAATAAAAAAAGGAAAAATCTAAATGTTCAAAACAAGGAATGCGTAGTCATAATGGTACATAACCTTTTACATCTACTGTAACAGAATCATTTAAAAAGTGTGTGTATGTATATAAAATAGCAGCACTTATAAAAGCAGAAACCAAGACCTAAGTTGAGATTATCTACAGGTCCAGGAATTAGATGGAAACTAGAAAAATTAAAATGAATTTGGTGGGAGGATTATGGTTAACACATATTCTTCAAATAGCATTTATACAACTTTTTTTTTTCAGTGAGATTTTCTGTATTTGACTTTGTGACATTTTCAGCTCTGACACATAAAAAATGAACTACCATTCCTCAGAAGCCGGTTTTTTTCCTACCATTCCAACTTTGACCAGCTCTAAGAAGAGCAGCTGACTTTCTTAGAAGAAAAACTGAGCCAGCACTCGGTAGCAAGGCTGGGCACCCTCGCCCGCCCTCCGCACAGCAGGCACCGAGGCCCTGCTTCACAGTCATCTTGCCATCCTCCGCCCACCTCATCGTTTCTCACTTCTTCAAGAGCAGAAGAGATCTAGAGGTAGTTCCCAAACCAATCTGTCCGTTTTAATTTTTTAACAATGAAATTCAGGCTCACATTTCCACCTAATTTATAGACACCTTCATTCTTCCTACTGGCATCTGAAAATTTCGCATTTAAAATAAACCCAAGTGTATCTTCCTCCAATCCCAAGGCCAAGTCTTGTTTCTTACTTCCTATTGCTATTAAAGACAATAATGTCCTTCCAGTCTCATTTGGGTTTTTAGCCCTGGCAATACCTTAATGTTTCTTTCTGTTACCACTGATCTCTGCTATAACCCTTTCTCTTACCCACCCCTCCCTGTCTCCCTTCTCTCATGACCCCACACTAACTCATGTCATCTGTATTTCTTCAGTGCCTACCACAGCACAAGGCACACAGCCAGAGCTCAATGCACAGAAATTGAACAAACGCGCCTAGGTCACCGCGGTAACAATAACGTGCAGTTACCATCTAGTAGGTACTAGTACTAGTGATAAAACTGACCATTTTAACCATTTAAAGTATACAGTTCTGCTCCAGTAGGCACACATACTGTGCCAACTGAGTGACCATCACCACCCCCAGCACCTTTTAATTCTCCCATGGAAAGCCTGCCCCCTGAACTCCAAGCCCCGAGGCTCTCGGCCACTGCCCCACTCCTGGCATAGCGCTCTTGCAACGTCCTGCATGATGACAGGAGGAGCTGTTGTAATTCACAAAACCCCTCTCGTCTATCTATACCTGAGTTCATGCCAGTGTGGTGATTCTTGGTGCACCCCGAGACGGCCTCAGGATGGGGCTGGATGCCAAAGGAACCAACCATGTGACTAAAGGGTTGGCCCTTACAGTCCACCCCAGATTCCAGAGAGGGAGCTGGAGACGGGGTCAATCACCAAAGATCAAGTGGGCAAGACACCAACAGAAAGTAGACAAAAATCTTTCTCATCTGGCTTCAGAAGACACAAAGTACATTAGTAGACTGCTTTATTAGACAAATCCAAAAGAACAGAGGGGACATGCCAACTGAAAAATCTCCCAAGTGTTCCAAAGTCATCAATAAGAAGGTTCCAATTCTTCTCTAAATACAGAATAGGTTATGGCCTTACTAACTCGAAGCACATTGCCTTGATTGCTGAAAACAACTTCTTGGACATAACTGATATCCTTTACTTTTTTATTACCTTTCCTTGGAAGATAATGTGGTGCAGCAATACCCAGGGGAGGGAGGGAGAACAGCAGCAGACAGACTGCGCTGAGCACTTCATTCTCTTCCAGCACAGCAAAGAGGTTAAGGAGAGAATTTAAAGTCCCTTGTTTGGAAAGGAATGGAGCCCTCTGCCACGAGGAGCCCAAGTCAGCAGTTACAGGCTGCCAGGCTGCACGATCTGTAACTAAGCTTTACATGCCAAGAGGGCTACGTCACTGCAGGAGCCCTGAGAATTCCTGTTCTCTAGAAAAGCACAGCTCTGCCCTTCGAGCTGGACAAGTCTGGACAGGAAAAGGCCAAGTCTACGAGCTTTCAAACTGCCCTAAGGAAACTCAGATCTGGACAAGGAATGCAACTTTTAGGTTACACTGACCACACAGTCTAAGGAAGTTTTGTGGGGCGATGAACATACCTCAGTAACAAAATAAGAAAGCTGTGTATTAAGCATTTTCTTATATTTATCTTATTATCAGGAAAAAAGTTTTCTAATCAATTTATAGTGCCTTTTCCACAAAAAAAAAAAAAAAAAAAAAAGTTGGGGCCCTCCCTGGTGGCGCAACAGGTGGAAGCACAGCACTGCAAGCCAGCCACGGCTGCTTCAGTGAGAGTCCAATCCCCACCCTGGAGCTGACCCACATGGCGCCGCGGACCTCTCCTGTCTCCCCACTGCTCCCCTCAGCAGTGTACTTTGCCCATCTGCCTATTCTGCTCCCACTCTGTCTCTGGTGAATCCTCTCACTGCTCGGACATCTCTGGCTTGTACCCTAGTTCTGTATGCATAAATAAATAAACCTACTTTTAAAAAGGTTAATTAACAATAATTAAGCATAAATAGTTGTTCTATTTCTTTACTTAAAAAAAAATTATTTACTTATGCATATAGAACTAGGGTACAGGCCAAAGGTGCAGGGGCAGTGAGAGGAGTCACCAGAGACAGAACAGGCAGACTGACAAAACACACTGCTGAGGGGAGCAGCAGGCGAGACAGGAGAGGTCTGCTGCACCCTGTGGGTCAGCTCCCTGGCTAGGGATCGAACTCATGCTGCAGTGGCTTCAGAGAATTTCTGTGGTGCTTTAACCCACTGCACCACCAAGGAGGGCCTCTATTTATCTTCTGTAAACAAAAGAAACTTAAAAGAATTTCTCAAATGGTTTGGGACTATCAGAATCATTTTTAACCTCTTAAAACAGCTTCCTGGGCTCTCACTGGTGGTGCAATAGGTTAAAGCACCACATTATGAAGTTCTCCAAAGCCACTGCAGCATGAGTTCGATCCCTGACCACATGGTGCGGCAGACCTCTCCTGACCAGCCTGCTGCTCCCCTCAGCAGTGTACTTCATCAGTCGGCCTGTTCTGCTCCCCCCTCTGTATCTGGTGAATCCTCTCACTGTCCCTGCACCCATGACCTGTACCCCCTGTATGCATAAATAAATAAATCTTTGGGGAAAAAAAAAAAACAGCTTCCTGGTACATCCTTTCAGGGCCAAGTGCAAGCCCTTGAATATGTCTAGATTGTGAAAATCCACAAAAATAATGTTTTTCAAAACAATTTTACAACAAATTATTGGAGATCAATGCCACTCAAAATCCACTAAGGGGTCTCCCTGGTGGTGCAGGGGTGAAAGTCTCAATGCTATTAAGCTATCGCCAGCCACTGCCTTCTTGGATGTATGTATGATTTTCTACTAGCGTACTCATCAGGAGTTGTTTTTGTAACTTTTCTTTAAGCTTACTGAGAACAAATGACACCTTTCTTTTCCTTGAAATGATCCAACTACGGGAGAGCAACATGAGAAGACCTCTCAACACTCTCTCCAGAGTGGGATTCTATGACAAGCTGTGTGCCTTAGCAGTCTACTGAGAGGGCATTCAGGGAGCCCTCAGCCTACATGGTCATTATGCACAAACCTGCAGGTGAGGTGACTGGAGGTCAGAAGTTACCAGAGAGTGGTTGAAGTGATAGAGGGCGGCAGCAAACTCTTCATCTGATGAACCTTGAAGACAACACGAAAACTAATTATAAAAGCAGCCACTTAATACATCTCACCACCCTGCTAACAGCAAAACTCCACCAGACACATGTCCTGTTTACTGACCCTTGAGTCCATCTTTGTCCACTTCCTTAATGATGCTGGCCAGAGTAGCCATATGGTGTTCCGAAAGAGACACACTCAGGTAGTTTCGGATGAAATTATTCCGAGAATTCAGCATGGAAGAGGTGATGAAGTTCAAAATATTGGAAGCCAAACCTAAAAACTAAAAGGAAGACAAAGCAGTTCATCCCAGGCTCATAAACCCAGAATTGTCTACAGATCCTAAACAAAGAAAGTAAAAAAAACCACTAAAAACTGCCCCTCCCCCAGCCTCATGCAATAAATAACAATGAATTAGAGAATCAGATTTTAAATCCCCTACAGCAGGATTAAGGTAAAGTATGATCATCTTTCCCATGTAACTGCCCCACTTATACAAAGTAGTATGCCATTTTAAAATAAGGCTTCATGAAGTACTATATGAAGAGAGAAGATTTTCAAATATACTGACTTATTGCTTTCGTTCCTCTAAAGCCCTGACTCTGTCCAGCTCTAAGATATTAATATATTCAATTCTGAAGCCTGTATCATTATACATATATTGAATTCCTAATTTACTTCTCTATTAAGCTGAATTATTGTGCAAGTGTTTTCTGGCACACATACAGCTAGACTAAGCTGTATTAGTACATCTGATTCCTTCATTGATGAAGGTTCTACTAGAATGAGGGACACACAGAGTCTGTCATTAACAAATACTGGTTGAACAAATAGTTAGCAAACCTTCTGATGTATGCTAACAGCTCTTTATTTTTCCCATCATCTTGGGAAGTACAGTCACTTCCATATGCTAGGAGACAAAACTGAAATTTGGAGAAGTACAGAATTGCACCCCTGGTCACAGAGTTAGTAAGTAGCAGAGTAAGATTCAAACTCACTTCTGTCTGACTCCAAAGGCTCTAGGCTACTAACCTTCAATCAGAGAAACAACACAAGGGGTACAAACTATTTAACAATCAATACAATGAAGTCTTAAGCAAAAACTATCTCTCTCGGGTTTTCCAACCTATAAAATGGTGGGCTTTTCAATCCTTCTTCCCATTTCTCTTTACCCTAACCCTCAGAAACCCACACTTACCAATTCAGGATCTTTGCGACTAGCCAAAATGTTGCCCTTCTCACCAGGGGCATGCTTACTAGGGCTTTTAACTCGAGGGGAGCTCTCCAGTGGAGGAGGTGGGGGAGGAGGCGGAGGGGCCACTTTCTCTTTACTGGGGGAGATGGTCTCCTCAAACCACTGTCCCAAAATGGGTTCACTGTCATCATCTGAACAGAGAAAGAGAACACAAGAATATCTTGATGTAGTGGTAGTTACAAGACAGCATATACATCTGTCAAAACTCATTCAAATGTATATTAAAATAGGAGCATTTTATTGCGTGTAAAATGGACCTCAGTAAAACCACTATTTTTTTTTTTAAAAAGTCCAGAGACGGAAGAGAAACAATTGGATAGCCTCCCTGGTGGCTCAGGGGTTAAAGACACAGTGCTATCAAGCTATCGCCAGCCACTGACTGCATCATGAGTTCGATCCCAGGGAACTGACACACAGGGTGCACAGACCTCTCCTGTCCCACCTGCTGCTCCCCTCAGCAGTGTATTTCAGTACATCTGCCTGTTCTGCTTCCCACTCTTTCTTATGAATTCTCTCACTCCCTACTACCTCTCTGACCTACACCCCAGTTCTTGTGTACATACATAAATAAGTCTCTAAAGAGGAAAAACAATTTGACTGTATTTTACTGGCAGCAAGTCAAACATTTTCAAGAGTAGATTACTACTTGTCTGCCAAGAGTGAACGCCAGAGTAAAACTTGAGGGTAAGAATGGTGATATCGTACACGGCTCCCACAAGCCTGATTATGAAGAATGTGAGAAATTTATCTTTATTCAGTCTCTGCAAACCAAGGCAGGAGGGATGTTGGTTTTCCCCTGGTGCTCACAACAGCCTGGGGTTTCTTTCCCTGTTTCCACCCAAGGAAATCTATGACAAAGCTCTGACACCAGCCAACCAAACACCTGACACACAACCTTCTGAGCTTCACTGGGAAAACTGAGCAGAGCACACAAATGGGCAAGCATGGAAGGAAAGATGAACAGTGAGACGGATGCTGATTTTGGAGAGAGGAAGGAAAAACAACCTGGCTTTGCTGGCAGCAGTCTCTGGCACCCAGTCCGCAAGAACTTGGCTTGCTCTTAAATGTCATTTCTGAGAGCGCAGAGTCCAGAACCACCCAAGCAGGTGAAAGCAAATGGTGAGTGGGAAACTCAAGGGGCCTACAGGGAAACTGGCCGTTGCACGCTACAGCTCATCTCCTGGGAAGGAAGCAAGAGGCCGCTACCTTGGCTGCTGTCTTCCTCCGTGCTGCTGAAATCGTCCTCGTAGTAGGTGTTGGAGTCCGTGGAGGCGCTGGCGTCACTGCTCATGGAGCCCTTCCTCTGCCGTTGCAGGACGCAGGCCTGCAAGCACAGGTGTCTGTGATGACTGCACAGCGAGCCGTCCTACATCCTCTCAGTGACATGACAAGGTCTTTCTTCAAATATTTCTCCGAACATCTGCCTTTGGGACTCTCATCACTTTACAAAAGCACTCCAAAACTAATGATTTGGGCAAGAATTGCAAAAGGAATGTCTCCCTAGCAGCTGTAGTCTGTTTCAGCAAGCCAAATGGCCACAAGTCACCGAGAAACCACATGTATCACAACTCTCAAGAATTTATTCAAGTATCTGGAATCATCTTTGAAACGGTTGCCACAAATTTTGAGTTTTTAAAGGTCATGTTGTACAGCCTTATTCATTTTGCTAAGATTACGTTCCATACAACCTTCCCGATGATTTTGTAGCCATGACCTCACCCACCTTTCTGTATGAAGTTGAGAGTAAGGTCAGCAGCAGGTTCGTCAGTGGGACAGAGTCGATCAGCCGCTGGATCCTCTGGATGGAGGTGCTCTGCGCCATAATGCTCAAGGCCGCAGGGGGGCCGTCCGCCTCCCAGCCCTGCGAACAACACCCACAGAGAGTGACACTCTGGCTGAGCAGATGGATGGATGGATGGATGGATGGATGGATGGAGCTCCATCTGGCTGATGGATGGCGCATCTGGCATCCCCAGAAGCGGACCAGCAGCCAACTGCTCGAGATAAGCTCCTCACCTTATGGAGAGCCTCGACTTGCAGGTCTTGAAAGAGAGATGTTAACAATTTCACAGCATGGTTCGCCAATATTACCGAGAGCACCCCAAAACCCTGATGCCTACATGAAGAAAAGGGAAAATGCAGTGAGTTAAAACCTCATAAACAGCGGATCATGCTACTTCAGCATTCTAGGCCCCTCGAAGACCTTCCCCTCCCAAGCTGCAGATACGCAAAACCAGCATATCATTTCAGAAGTTCACAATCTCTCTGAAGTTGACCCGGAACTATCTAGAGACGCGCAGACTTCAGGTTAAGAATTCCTGAACTAGAAACTCTTCTAAATCTATAAAATTCTACAATTTAATCTATCAAGTCCAAGTCCCTGGATCAAGTGAACATACTAACACTTCAATGTTGCTTTAACACTTAACATGTCATTTGTTTGAGGTTAAAAATTATTGACTTGCATTAAAAAAAATCTGGGACCCACCCAAAACTACAAAATAAAGTTTTACAATGGAGGTGCATAACTCTCTTCTGTGCAAAATGACCATAGGACAAAGGCTAGTAAATTTAATACACAACAAGCTCATATAATCTGTACAGGGGAAAAAAGACAGACCTAAAAGAAAACTGGGCGAAGGGCACAGGCAGTGTGCAAACGATTCTTCCCAAAATGTGCACTGCTCCCTCTATCACTGCACACTCACAACTGGTCTCCAGGCCCTTCCTGACCATCTGAACTGAAGTAACAGCCTGCCACCTTCAAGCACCTTGTTCTGGCTTAATTGTATTCGTAACGCTCACATAATAGTCCACCATGACCCCTTTAATATATCTGCTCTTTGTTGGTCCTATTAGAAAATAGACTCCATGGCAGCTCTCCTGTCTGCCTGTGACTATGCAGATGTCTGTTTCTCTTTCTTCTTTTTCTAACAAGCCCAGCCCTTTAAAATGTTAAAAAAAAAAAAAAGAGAGACGATGACGACAACAAAAGAAACAAAACTTTAGAAAGGCAAGGACAAGTGCTTCATTGAGTGTTTCATTCTCAATGCCTGGAACAGAGCCTAGTACATGGTAGGGACTAGATGAATGAGATCCAAAAATTCTCTGGCTTCGAACACAGAACCTTAAACAGCACAAGCGGTAGCTCCAGTTTCTTTCCTAGCAAGTAGGACTCGCCAGACTTGATCAAGACAACAGCAAATGTTTAGCTTCCTAGCCAGGAGGAAATGACAACGTCCCCTTGTTACATGCAAGTGAGCACAGAACTCCAAGTCAAATGAGTCCATTTTATAAAACAGAAGCTATTTTCCTGGTTTGAACCTAAGAAAAATCCTAATATATACATATATATGCATATCACACAGCTATTATCTCCTTCTTACAGAAAGAAGAAATCAGATTAGAAAGAACAGAGGATCCATCCCCAGCCACCAGGTTGACAGCCATCACCACAGCTGTTACGTTCAACCAGGTAGTGAGCAAATCACTGTACTCAGGTGAAAAGTGAGGAGTCACACTTGCTCCGTATCAATACGAAGCAGCCACAGGGCCTCCTTAGTGGCACAAGGGGTTACAGCACAGCACTATGAAGCCACTGCAGCTTGAGTTCAATCCCCAGCCAGGGAGCTGGCCCACAGGGCACAGCAGACCTCTCCTGTTTCACGTGCTGTTCCTCTCTGCAGTGTAATTCAGTCAATCTGCCTGTCTACTCCCCATTCTGTCTCTGGTGAACCCTCTCACCCCCTATACCTCTGGCCTATACCCCAATTTTTACAAGTATAAATCAATAGATCTTAAAAAGAAATACGAAGCTACAAGAAAACACAGCAAGACAGGAGTGGCAGTCAAGGAGACACATACCCCTTGCCAGGCCCCAACTTAGGAGAGCCCACGCCCTCTTTTGTCCGTGAAAGGATGTCTCTGACTCGGAGTGCAGCCAGCGGGTCTTTCTCTTTTCCCTTGTCAGCCAAGGCAGTAGGACTGAGATTCAGTATGAGGAAAAGGCTGTTCAACAAACACCAGGCACCCAGCAACTGGAAGTTCTGGTAGTGCTGTTGAAAGGCACAAAAAAAATATAAAGATAAAATATTTGCATTTTAGAGACTACAAGACAGAATAGAGCACGGCCAAGCTTCTTACCTCGCCACCAGCTCGGCGGGAATTGCTGATCGCTTGCCCAATCATGTCATAGATTTCAAGCTATCCAACATAAAACATACAAAGATCTGAGCAAGGTGACATCTTTCGTTACAAATGCTGTATCTTACACAAATTAACGTGGCCTGAGAGGTAAATGTCCTCAAGTCACTTTCCAGTGATGCCCACATCACATGTCATGTGGCACCAGCTGCCCTCCCCGCTCATCTCTTCAAGGGCATTCCAGTCACCCCACTGAAAGCCACACACCAGGTGTGCAGCAGATCACTTCTGACCCACTTATTCTGCCCACACACTCATCTGACCTCATCTCGTTCACTGTGCATCGCTACTAAGCACAGCGACACGCCTTCCAATGTGCTGTCTGACTGACTCGTCTTCCACCAGGACTGCTGCACCACAAGTTTCACGCTCTCCTACGAGAACAACCTATCTGGCAAATACAGCTAAGTGTACGTCCCTTAGGCCTCTATCCTGGGGAAGGCGTGTGGAGAAAACTCCATGTCCTTGCTCCCATCAAGGAGATGGGGGTACTGGCCATACGCCCCATCTGCACACTCCAGGCTCCAGGGCTCCCAGCGGCGTGGCTTACACATTTCTGGACGATTGTAGCCGCGTCGCTCTCATAGTCTTCTTCCTTGGAGCTCGTGGACCCTGTGCGCACTTGCTGAGCGCTACCCACATGGAGGATGGCCATGCAGGTAGCCACACTCACCCCTGGGAAAAGACGCAGATTTCAATCAGGCATGCCCCCCAAGAACCCATCGAAACGGAAACATAATCCACCCACAAGCAATTCCATGATTTCATTACTGAAAGTAAATTCCATAAGGGCAAGATGTGGTGCGACCATATGATCCAGCAATCATACTCCCAGGCATGTACACAAACGAGCTAAAAAGTTCTGACTGCAGGCCCTCCCTGGTGGCGCAGCGGGTTAAAGCACAGCACTGAGAATCTAAAGCCGCTTCCGCATGAGTTCGATTCCCGCCTGCCCCGAAGGTGACCACATGGCACAGCAGACCTCTCCTGACCTGCCCGCTGCTCCCCTCAGCAGTGTACTTCGTCAATCTGCCTGTTCTGCTCCCCACTCTGTCTCTGGTGAAGCCTCTCACCGCCCCTGAGCCTCTGGCCTGTACCCCAGTTCTGTATGCACAAATAAATAAATCTTTAAAAAAAAAAAAAAAGTTCTGCCTGCAGAATCCCACACTCAAATATTTACTGCAGCTTTCACAGATGCAAGGACACACTGTGGGGCATTCACACAATGGAGTATCAGTCCATCAGAAAAAAGAGATGCACAATCAAGCCATGGAAACACATGGCGGAGCCACAAATACACACTCTACGTCAAAAGCAGCCATTCGGAAAAGGTTATACACACTTAGTTGATTCCAACTATGTGACATTCTGAAAGGTAAAACCATAGAAATGTGGGAAAATCAGGGCCTACTAGGGCCTGGTGGGGGTGGTGGAAGTGAGGTTACTAGGTAGAGCACTTGGGTCTGAGGGCAGGAGAACTGTTCCACATGATACAGTAATGACTAATACATGTCATAAGCATTTATCAAAATGTAGAGTACTGTGTAACAGAATGAAGCCTAATGTAAATACTAACTTCAGTTCACAGCAATGTATGAATACTGGCTCATCAATGACAACAAATGTGCAGTACCAATGTATGTGCCATACCAATGTGCAAGCAAGGGAAGAGGTTACAGGAGCTCTGTACAATCTGCTCACTTTTACTAACGATAAAGTCTAGTCACATTT